GTGTGTGTGTGTTGTGTGTGTGTGTGTGTGTGTGTGTGTGTGTGTGTGGTCAGTTACTGAGTCAGTGAGTCAATCAGTCAGTCAGGCAACCAGTGAGTCAGTCAGTCAGTCTGTCGGTCAATCAGTCAATCAGTTAATCAGCCAATCAATCAATCAGTCAGTCAGTCAGTTGCAACGAACAGCTTGGTGTGTGTGTGTGTGTGTGTGGTACAAGGCTCCCGTAACCATGCCACAGCATTTGCGTGGAGAGGTATGCTTATGAACAACACATCAAAATTGCCCGCATCTAAGCATGCCCATAAACGAATGCACATAAGCCAAGCTTTGAAAGGCAATGAAGGCAAGAGAACCACAAGGCAAAAAACAAGCCAAACGGTCAGGCAAAAACCAAGCCAAACGGTAAGGCAAAAACCAAGCCAAACGGCAAGGCGAGGCTAAAGATGGAACAAGGCATTGGACGGAAAGCAGCAGCAAAGAACATAAGGTGGAGGGCAAGGGGGAGACAGGTGGGCAGACAAACAGCTCTTAGCAGCAAAGGACAAGGCAACAACCCAAGGAACAGCATTGGGCAGTCAAGCCGCAGCAAGGAACGTAGGCTGGAGGGAACGAGGGGGGGGCGGGTGGGCTGACAAGCAGCACTAGGCAGCAAAGGAAAAGACAACAAGCCAAGAAGCAGCAAGGCAAAGAAACAATGTGGCAGACAAATGAGAAAGTAACAAAAACCACAAAGCAAAGGTAATAAAACTGATGAGAGATTGTTTCGTCGGAGTTGCAGCAATTCATCAGGAGGCTGAACCCTCGACAATCTGTGAATCCCCAGAACTCTCGACAATCTGTGAATTGCCAGAACTCTGGACAATCTGTGAATCCCCATATCGATGGTTTGGGTCATGAACCTTTGAATCTTTGACCCTTGATGAAAGCGCACCGTCGACAAGCCGAACACAGCAGCAGGCAAAAACTCAGTGAAGCACCAGGCAACGCAGACAGAGAGCAGCACAACTGCAGAACGCACCATCCACAAGCCAAACACAGCAGCAGGCAAAAACTCAGTGAAGCACCAGCCAACGCAGACAGAGCAGCTCAACTGCAGAACGCCGAAAACGAACTGCACAGACGACACCGAAAGCGGATGAGCAGCAAAGCAACAGTGCACCGAAACACAAGGCAACAGCAACAAAGCAGCCACACTACACGGCACACAAGCAAAGAGCACGGAAGGCAAGACACGCAGATGTGCAGCAAGGCAGCAAAGTAGAAACGCACAAGGGAACAGCGGCAAAACAGCCATACCACACAAGAGACACAGCAGCCACAAAGAATGACATGCGACACCAGAGGGATGGGCAGCAACGCAGCAGTGGAGCGCAGACAAGGCAGTCTACACATCCAACGCGGAGCAAAGTGGCACGTCACGAGTGAACCCCGCAGACTGTTGGTCACCACCACCTAATGACCCAGGAAGGCTCTCTGACAAACGTCTATCATCCCTCACAGACCTTATGCACCACAAATATCACAGACAGAGCGGCCCCGTAAGAGTCCTGCAGGCCCTCCGAACCACCGACTATTTAGCACTCCTTGAAGGTGCTCGTTTAGACACACCGAAATTACTTGGAAGAAATCGAAAAAGAGGAAATACATGCATGTCATGTGTGTGCGTGTTGTGGGGGGGGAGGAGAGAGAGAGAGAGAGAGAGAGAGAGAGAGAG